CTACAGATTTATACCATACGAACAAAAATTATTCTAAGCACTACAAGGTGTACAATTGGATGAGCGTATTTCAGCTAGAACAATCAACAACATCCAGAATTCTCGTCTGGGTAGCCTTTTAAGACAACCAAGAACATGCGGCCACAAGATTGTAATTTAACACATGAATGCTACGTTTTGTAAATGTAAAATAATTTAACTTACCATTTAAGACCTTCGCCAAAACCTTCTGGAAGAAGAGTCCACGTACGGCGAAGTGCTGTTATCAAAATCAGGAAAAAAATTGGTCAATAACATAACATACATGCTTATTCAAACTCATAATAACTACATGAATTTGAAAGGGTGAGTCTAGAGGTTAACCCTATGAATAAAACTCTCCTAAAAACAACAAACAAACAATAAAAATTACAACTTTAAAAAGGATTTGAGTTTACATTTAAAAAGTCCAAGGGAACCGACTTCAACAACATTACTAGGTAAATTGTTCCAATAACCAATTACGTTGTTAAAAAACGAATATTTAAAACAGTTGATTCTAGATAATTTACAATAAAGCTTAAACGAGTGATTTGCCCTAGTGGATTTGACTTTTGCGAATTGAAAGAATTCCTCAAAATCCAAGTGTGATAAGCCAAACACGATCTTATAACATTCAACAAGAGAGGAATATGTCCTACGACTGGACAAAGATGGCCAATGTAACGAGTCACAACGCTCTTCATAAGACATATCACCTCTTTTTTGTCTAAGAGCTAATCTTGACGCACGTCTTTGCACGGTCTCTATTGCATGAATATCTTTGACAAGATATGGGTTCCAGACTGGAGCAGCATACTCTAAAAGTGGTCTGACCAATGTTTTGTAAAGCAATGAAAAAGTTGTTGTATTAGCTGTTCCAACCGACCGTCTTATTAGCCCTAGGACTTGGTTCGCCTTATTCACCATAGTACTAATATGTTCACTCCAAGTAAGATCTTTTGATATAATAATTCCAAGATCTTTAAAGCTCTTGACATCTTTTAAGGCCGTACCTAGTTTATAATTCGTAGTCGATTTGTCACGAGAACGCGTTATTCGCATTGCCTCACACTTTTCCTCATTGAAACGAAGTTGCCATTTTTTCGCCCATTTACCAAGATTATTCAAATCAGTTTGAAGGTATTGTTCATCGAGACTAGGGTTGCGAAGCTCTCTGAAAATCTTTGTGTCATCCGCAAATAATTTAATTTTTGAAGAGACACTATCAACGATATCATTTATATATGCTAGGAATAAAATTGGACCAAGAATAGTTCCCTGTGGGGTACCAGATATCACAGGTGCCCAATCAGAAAAAGTCCCTCCTACAACAACTCGTTGCTTTCTACACATGAGGAAATGCCTCAACCAGTTAAGAAGTTTGCTCTCAATACCGAGGCTATATAACTTTATGAGTAGACGCTCATTAGGAACACTATCAAAAGCCTTTGCGAGATCAAGAAATACAACATCTGTTGCAACAGATGAATTCCTAGATCTGGCGAAGTCATGAAAAGTAGAGAGTAATTGGGTCACAGTAGACCTACCCTGCAAAAAACCAAATTGGTTTTTGTTTATCACGTTTTGGTCTTGCCAAAATGACGTTAACCTATCGCGTACAATTTTTTCGCTGATTTTGCATATCATGGATGTAAGCGAAATTGGACGATAATTCTCCCTCAAGTGTTTAGAACCTTTCTTGTGAAGTGGGACAATGTCAGCTGATCTCCAATCTTCGGGCAAATGGCCCAGCAGGAAAGATTTGTTAACCAGAAATGAGATCGAGGGCGCCAATTCGAACGCACATGATTTTAAAATTACTGGTGAAATTCTATCTGGACCCAGGGACTTGTTCGTTTTAAGAGACTTAAGATGACTTAAAATTTCCTCAGTAGTACAGGAAATATAATCAAGTTTCTCACAAACTAAAGCCTCTAAAGAAGGCAAGTTGGTGAAGTCCTCAGAGGTAAAAACAGATGAAAAATAGGAATTAAAACTACTAGCAATACTCTCATCGTCAATCAGTTCTTTGTCACCAACCTTTAAAGATACCAGAGTATTCGTACCGTTACGTTTGCTTTTAATATAATTCCAGAAAGGCTTGGAATTACCAGAAACTGCAATATCAGAGGCCATATTGTTGATATACGTCCATCGAGCTAAGTTACATTCTCTTTTCACGACATTGTTCAGTTTTCTGTACTTCTCCCAAAGGGCTGGATTGCTGCTTTTTCGCGCTTTGTTATACAACAATTTCTTTTTTCTGCACAACCTAATGGGATCCTTTGTTATCCAAGGTGCATTACATTTTTTCTTGCTCCGACACATGGGTATGCATTCATCCATAGCCGTAAATAAAAGATCTTTCCAGCAAGACCAGTTGTATTCAATGCCATCATCGAAAAAAGCACAGTTCCAAGGAATGCAAGCCAATAACATCTTTAGGTGTGCCCAGTCATTTTTGCCATATGAATAGAAACATTTCCGAGATTTACGCTGGGTGTAGGGTGATCTTAAGATCAGATGAAGTCCGCCTTAAACTCGTCAGTTATAAAAAGATGAGGAGTTAAATGTTAATAGAGCGGTAACTGAAGCGAAAAAAACAAATTTTCATCTATATACTCACTTCTTTAACCCTCCGTTGACTACTCGACGTGAAAGCAAGTGTGTTCAGGTCGTGGACGGGAGCACGACGGCATTCACGCTTGAATGCTTTCACTATTGCGCATGTACATGACGTAATTTTGAAGCGAAACTCGTCGTCAGAGCATTCTCGTCCCCAGAGCCCGTCGTTTCTTGGTCACGTGGTAGGGAAACGAGGGGCTCTGGACGCAGCGGTTACCGGATGTCAGAAAATTTCTGATATCCGGTTGCGCATGTGCAGAAGTTACAAATATCACTGCTCATGCTCATAACGTATTTTTGTCCCTCACCGCTCCACTGGGGGAAAACGTTTACTTCCTCAGCTCTCTCCAGAGAGTGGCTTCTTTGGGATGTTTTGAAAATGCACCACTTCACTCAATTTGGATTCACTGATAATTTGGAGAATTTGAAGAAGACAGTAACAGAAGCCGGCTGAACACACTGTTGGTTTGCAGAACTGAGACAATTAATCGGCAGACTATCGTCTGATTTATGTGAGTCTTTTTTTCAATCCGTTTGGCGAACAAACACTGGGAAAGCAATATTGCAAAGATCGATATAATGCGGGAAAAAGTCAATCTAAAAAGGTATCTTGTTCCATGTCGTGCAACTGCTATCTTACTTCAAAACGCTTTTTGAAACGAAACCATTCATGTGTTGTGTTAGGAGAGTAAATTATATATTTCATTTCACTCGAGCTGGCCATGGTTGTGTGTTTTCCTATGTTCATTTCTTTTTGTGGTGTCGCATGTCGTGGTTTTAATTTTGCCCATGAGCTTTTGTGTACAACACGTGTTAGACAACCGAAGGATTTACGTCGAAACAAATCAATATTAATCATTTTACCGACCCAGGGTAAAAAACATATATTACAAGGTTTGTCCAGGACTGGTTCCATGGGCTTCCATACATGGCAACTTTATACAGTACTGAGTGAATCAAATTCCAGTTCAGAACTTGAACCCCAGTTTCCTAACCCTAATAATAAAACTTCTGGGTCATTTGGTGTTTATGGGGGCCACTTAGTGTTCTGCTAAAAGGGTTTATCCTCCCTAAAGATTTCAGGTATCAACACCTAGCTAAAAATCATCATCAGACAGTACCTCAAAGAGAGAGTTTTCAATAATTTTGCTGTAAGACTCAGAAAATCATTAATACCTGAAAAATGTTGATTGTGTAGTGACCAATCACCATAATGTTCAGTACACATGCACGACCAAACCTCAAAACCACAAAGTAATTACCATTGCTGTTTGAGGTTTTGTTTTTTCACCCCTTATTAGCTTTTTCTTTGCAACACAATAGCATTCCTAAATAATTTTTGGTATTCATGGTTTTGTAACTTTCACAGTATAGGTGAGCTCTTGTCATCTCTGTTGTAGGGGTATAAACAGTTATATGTACTTTTGATTACCAGTTACTACCGGACACTAGTTTAGTAGGAAGTGATGGTAATTATGTAAATGCATCCAGAGAGAAACCTGTTTAAGTATCACTTATGAGCTCATGGGTTACACATCTTTGTAAGGGGTTTGAACGTTTTTTTTTCTTAAGGGAGGGCTTACAACCAGGGAGACATTTTTCTTGTTAACTGGTAAATCAGGGCCTATAACTGGGGGGCTTATAAGTTGGGGGGAGGCTTAAAAGCAGTAGTTTATGCCTGTGCCAGACATTCAAGTATTGGGGAAGGTGCAAAGAGAACAAAACTAAAAAAAACCCGCTTTTTTAATGCTCTACTTCTCTTTATCTGAATACCTAGAATGGGTTATCATAAGCTATATAGCTGTACTTTCTTAGCTGGAACAGTCAAAAGGTAGAGTGATATATACACTGTATATAGACTGTATGCTTTAAGAGATCCCCCCATTAAGAAGTAACAGCTTTGAGTAACACATAACCCAAAAGCATTTTCTTGGGTAGCTGCTCTCATCATGTTTTGAGACTGGAGTGCAAGACCTGCAAGGTTTGAAACTGGGGATAGAACTTTGGATCAGGCCTGAAATAGGATAGTGAAAATCACATAGTTTAGTCAAAATTTGGCAAGGCGAGAAGCATACCGTGGGGTGAATCTGAAATTATTTTTGGAGAGTAGTGCCCCACCCCCAATCCCCACCCTCTGCAGTTGTATTGAAACTGAATGTGGTGCTTTATAGAGTTAAAGTACAATATCTGCTCACAGGTTTTGATAATGTACAATTTTTTAGTTCCCTTAAAATTCTAAAATTATTATAAATTATTTTGTGTTATAACATGAGGCCTCCAACTAGGAAAAAGGTTTAACCAGAACTGAATCATTGACCAGCAGAAGCAAGTTTCAATTTGGCTCATCATTATTT